GTAAGGGACCCACACTTTCCCTGATCCTCTTCTTGCTACTGAAATACTATAGAAACCCTTCTTGTTACCTTTAACATCCCTTTCTAGCTGCAAGTCCAATTGCGCTTTGGCCTTCCTGATTTCATCCATACATCCTTGGCAGCTCCCTCAGCCAGACTTCCCCTCTCTGGCCTAAGACTTGGGCTTATGTAGCAGGCTCTTATCACATGGCCTTCACTTCTGCCTCCTGGGTGCATGAGGCTCTTTCTGCACCTGGACACAGCACCCATCTTGTTTCACCTCCTCAGCGTATGTGCAAACTCTAGCATCCCCCAGAGACCCACCAACTCAGGCCACAAGGGAATGTAAAAGAAATGAGTGCATGTGTATATAGGGAGAGGAGGTGAAAATGAAGAAGTGGCAGGTGGAGCAGGGAGGGGAGCAGAAGTTAGCAGTGAAAGCAAAACCAAACCCAAACCCTGGTTTCCCTAGTAATGGGGTAGGGGCCCTGTTACACATGCAAAAAATGGCTTTACTTTACCTTTACAAGACCTCATATTTATGATTCAATATCTCTTGTCCTTCTAGCATAAGTGATAGTCCTATTAGAATCTGTGAATTGCCCCAAGAAAAGACTTAAAATTAGTGACCTTTTTAGTATAAAAAAGCTATTATTAATCCAGATGAATTCAGCCTATATTGGTCATCAGAGAGATTTAATGTAAGAGGATTGGAAAGAGGAAAATATTTCTGTGGGAAATTGAGTTTTTGAAAATGACAGCTGTTTAAGTCACTCAGGGTATTGGAATACTAGGCTAAGAGCTGAGAAGGTGGATTAGTAGGTTGAAGGCAGTTGAAGTGGTCAGACTGACCTGAAGTATTTATCTTCTGGATGCAGTCTATCACATAGCTACAAGCTCTACAGATTTGTCTGCCTTTCTACCCACCAATCCAGATGGATAGATAAATAGGTAGTAGCCCATCTCTAGTGGGAAATTAACAAAATAGTATGAGTTTATTGTTGTGTCTTTCTGAGTGCTCAGAATGTAGCATGTGGCTCAGAAACAAGAGAGAGAGTTGTTATCATTTTATTTTTTTTTTTAAAAGGGCTGGGATTTTTGTAAAACAATAAACTTTCATTTGATAGAGATTTAAGGAACTTCCATCTATAATATGTTTCAAAATGTACTCCTTTTCTTTGCAGAGATCACGCTATATGTAGCTCTTGTAAATTTTCCCCTTTTAACCATTTTCCTTTAAAATGTATTTATTTCCATTGTGTCATGAGCAGCTGGTGCTGCCTTAGTCAGGGGGGTCCCTCTGTGGCCAATCTCGCTGATGCGTGGGTGGGGAGTGCCCCCACAGCCAATCGTGCAACAGCCAATCGTTGTGACCGCTTCTGGGAGTGCCATGGTGCTCCACTCCCCAGCTGGCACTTGCAGGGGGGGCACCAGCGCTCCCACCTGCCCTCCCTGCCCATTGTCTAAGCAGCAAATGTGCCCAGTCAAGGGGTACACTGGCACTCTCAGGGGGTGCATGTGTACCTGCTATGCATCGCCACTGCTGCAAATGCCTCTTGCTGCATCTCAAAGCAGTTTGAGATGTGGCAAGAGGCACACTGAGAACAAAAAAAGCGTTTCCCACACTGCCTATTTGCAGCATGGGCTCAAAATCCGACACCTGGATATGCAGGTATCAAAAAAAAACTTGTAGAAAAAAAGTGGGGCAGGCAACCAGAGGCTTGGGTCCTCCAAAGAGATGCTCTGGTAGCTGGCCAAATGTCTCTATGGCTGCACCTTGCCCTGGTGCTGCAGCACGATGCAGCACCTGTGGGCAAAGAGCCATGCAGGCTGCAGGAACTTGAACCCGGGCTCTGTCCTCAGGTAAGTAGGGACTGGGGGTGGTAGGAAAACTGGAGAAAGGTCTATGTGGGTGCAGGTATTGGGGGAGACTATGGGGGAGGTCTGTTTGGGAGGGGTTGGTCCCCCAGCCTGCCTCCTGCAAGGCCCGTAGCCCCGCCCCCTGCAGCAAAAGCAGCCATCAGGGTACTCAGGGCCCTCTTGGCACAGCCCTACACATGGTGCAGGGCAGCGCAGCATGGCCCTGGCTGCCTGGCACCCGGCGCTGTCTGTGCCACATCACACAGGCTGGTGCAGGGCTGTGTACCTTAGGGCAGCTCCAAGCTGCTTGTGCTGTCACCTGGGGGCCAGCACCGCTCATGGGGACTGCATGTCACAGCAGGCTGTGTTCTGCATGCATGGGCCCCACGCACTGTCATGCTGGGCCAGTTCCATGCATGCAGGACCTGGCCTGGTGCAACACACAGTCCTTACGAGCGGCACCAGATCTCAGGTGACAGCCCAAGTGGCCCAGAGCTGCCCAAAGGCGTATGACCCTGTGCATAATCGGCCTGGGTCTCTGTGTTGTGGCACAGGCAACGCCAGGTGCCAGGCAGCCAGGGCTGTGCCGTGATGCCCCGCACTGGAGGGCGGTCTGTTCCAGGAGGCCCTGAGTGCCCTGATGGCTGCTGAGCTGTAGGCCATGGAGGGGGGTGCTGTAACCCTTGTGGGTGGGCATGGGGGCCCTGCGGAAATATGTTATCCCTGTGGGGGGGGCTGTAGCCCTTCTGAAGGGGCATGTGGGCCCTGTGGGGGGGCATGGGGGCACTATGGGAGGGCTGTAGCCCCTGTGGGTGGGCTTTGGCCCCTGCATGGGAGCTGTGGCCCCTGTGGGGGGGCTGTGGTCCTGTGGAGGGGCAGCCCATGAGCTGTGCAGGGGGGCTGCACCCTGCGGGGGGCAGGGGATGCACCCCTCCTGAGCACTGCCCCCCACACCCCAGTCCCCCCACGAACCCTACACCCCCAAGCCACCCTCATAAACCCCTCACCCACATACCTGGCCCTGGCCCTGTGAATCAGGAGTGAGGGGACTGGGGGGGTGGGGCAGGCTGTGGGCTGTGAGTGAGGGGCAAGGGCAGGGGCAGGACACTGGCATATCAGTATTGCTCAGCATTGTACATCCTGGTAAGTGGAGGGAGTAGGGGCAGCTCTGCTTTTTCTGTGACAAAAAAGCCAAAATTAAATGCCAAAGTGTATGGGTGTTTAGAATGTATTTTATTATGATGATAAAGGCAATGGTAGGCTTCCAAATTGCTTTAACTTGTAAATATATTAATAAAATATTGCCCAACTGATCTGTCTATATATAGTGGCATTTCATTTTAATAGCAAAAGAACACTATTTGGGGTATTTTAATGAGAGAATTTGGGTTTCGTATTAGATAATTTGCAATTTTTGAACAGGGAACACCAGGATCTCTGCTGGTGAGACAGGTGGCGAAACTTGGGCAGAGGAGCCTGTCCAGGGCCAGCACTGGGAACCATTTGGAGAGCAGAGAAGGTGGCTCATGTAGCTCAAGTAGCCCTGAGCTGCTCACCAGGGCAGGTTTTTATATTGCTGGGGCTAGCACAGGGCAGGTTTTTATACTGCTGGGGCCAGCACAGGTGTTGGCCCCAAGCTCTAGCTCCCCCTGGCTGCAGACCCAAGAGGAGCCAGGCAGGGTTATTTTGCCCTAAGTGGCACAACTTGCCCCACACCAAAGTGCACATCCAGGCACGTACGCTGAGGCAAAAATCCCAGGCTCAAATTTGTGCCACTCCTATTTGAGCTGCTGCACGTGCACATGCCTGCGGTTACTGGGAAGTAGAAATGAAAACTGAAGAAGTTTTATTATTTTGACTATAAAGTTATGAGACTATATGTTCAAATTTTATCCTAACTCTCTTGTGCAGTGCCACTAAGTGGAGCAGAATTCAATAGGGTTGAGAATTGTTCCATTGACCCAGTCTCTGATGAGCTGTTGGAAGCAAGGAAATGCTGATTTTACCAACCCTGACAATCCAAACTGATTTTCTTAGCAGTCCTCAGATCTGTCCTCTGTTTCCTTTACCCACCAAGCATGCCATTGATCTTACAAAGGTACATCAATAGAGTGAATGAGTAGCACAGGATAATGGCATATATAACCAGTACAATTGTGGTTTATTTTAGATTGTTCTATAGAATAGTTCTAGCATGCAAATGAGTTGCACTTCACTCAGCCAGGCAATAAATCACATAAATAGGCAATTAATTATGTTTGAAATTAGGAAAACCAACAGAAAATCAACTCCATCTCAGCAAATTGGCAACTAACCTTTCCATACCTGATATAAAACCCTAAAAGCAAAGAACGTAACCAGTGTAATAAAAGAAATATTGACTTAGGTTTTCCTTTTTTCATTTTGACAATTAATGGCATTTAGCTGTCTTTAAATTATCTGAATCACTTCGTTGTGTAAAGTTTCCCAGTTGTTTTCTTTCCCACTTAGTATAGAATTTATAGTTGTCTTGTAAAATAGCCTGCTCTGCTACTTTTATATTCCAAGTTCATCGGTTTACTCCCACAAAAGAGCTATCAAATTTTGAAAGAAGGATATTTCTTTGAAAGAATTGTATACATTTTATTCTGATTGGAGTAGTCTCAAATATTATTTTCCTTCAGTTCTCAAAGATGAATTTATGGATTTGGTCAGGACCAAATTCTGTCTTCTTTTTCATCCTTGTAATACTATTGTCCTCGGTAGAATTTGACCCTAAATCTGCAGAAGCTGGATAGCATATGAAATGAATGCATTTTAGTAAACAGGCAAAAGAGATATGTAGTTTAAAAATGATGCACCAATTTGATGTATCTGATGCTATTCTGTATTCAGGAGAGAAAGCTATTATTGCAGCACACAATTCTCTGACAGAGCAAATATCTCCCAATGTAAACTGCATGATAAGGGTCACGTTAGGTCTCATCGTTATGTTACATAATGTTTGATTTGTACATTTATTGTGGTTTGGGCATGTTATTTGTCTTTCTGATAGTCTATAATAAATGCTGCTGCAAGATTGCAATTTCCCTCATTAAAAATCGAAAACTTGCTATCTTTAGTATATGAATGTATGAAGTTTTACTTTTTATTACCTTACAGAAGCTGCAAAGAATCAATCCTCCTTACTGTTGTTCAGCCTTACCCTGTAAGTATCTATAATGTTTTCTCTATTGGTTTCCTAGCAACATATTCAGACTTTCTCTGCCTCTTTTCTCTCTAAATCTTGAACTTATTTGCATAATACAAAATATGGGAGAAACAGAGGCTACAGTTTTAAAGATAAATGTAAGACTAGATACCAAGGTCCACAACAGCAGGACAATTTTATAATAATTTAAATAACTGGCATCTTCTGAGTTGTTCTAGGAGTATATCTCATGCTTATGACAGGATGCTGAGTTCCTTTCCCAGCAATCACTCTGACACTTGGGCAAGTCCCTTAACCTCTTTTTCCCCAGTTTGCTTATAATTCTTGTGAGACTTCACAGAGGAATATACTTTTTAGGTAAATGATGCTGTTTGAAATCCTGGGCTCAGTATAGGCAGCTAAGTGGTATGGTCATTCTTCACATCTGTGTACCCTTGTTGTATGCTAATTTGTCCTGAACTTCTTTGGGCCTTACTACACAAGAAGGGTGAAAAGAGGTTCTAGTGCCAGTTGGTAGGAATGTACTGTGTGACTCTTTGCGTGTTTATACAAGAGAAGCGTTAATGCACATTAGTTTAATTTATTGTGCATTATGGGTTAGTGTCTACATGTGTGTTCCCTTAATGTGCATAAAAAATGGCAAAATTAGGCTAACTGAACTTAAATTTGATACCTGCAAAAGCAGGTATCAAATTTAGGCATGATTAGTTAATGCACGTGTAGACACAACCCAGCACTAACTTTTGTGCCAAGTCTGCCCAGCCATTAGGGGCACATGGCAGAGCTGCAGGGACTTGACACTAACGTTAGCACACTAACTTTAGTGCCAAGTGCTTGCACGTGTTGACACCTGCCAAAAATTGCTTAATGCTAATTAACTTAATGTGCATTAAATTTAGTCATGCTTAAATGCATGTGTAGACATGCCCTCTGGCTATAAACTACCATAATCACAATTTTTTTTCATAAGCCAATTTGGTCTATCAGTTGGCAGATTTGTTTCTGTTAATGCCATGCGAAGAAAGTATCTTTGTCATGTTGTGCAGTGGTCTGTTTTATTAAATACTGACCATACGGTATAATTTGGGTTGGATGTACTTCAGCCTCTGATTGGATTGGAAACCTACGTGGTTATGTTCATGGCCCACCAGATTGTGAAATGAAGTTGTACCCTAAACAACTGCAGTGGTGACTAAAATAAGAACAGAAATCCCTTAGGGTCAACCCCAAGAAAAAGTGAACTAAAAGGCTGCTTGGGGTCTCACAAGCCGTGCTGGCTCAGGGCATTCACAGTCAATACATTTGCAGTTGGACCAGAGAGGAAGGTAAGTCATGATATGATTTTTCTTCCAGGAGATGGAAATCCTGCATTTGCTTGGAGCCAATCAAATAAAAAACTTGGCCTAAGGTACCATCAGGGCACTGTACACATTTGTTACAGCACCAAGAGCTATTAAATAGCAAAAATAGCTCTGAATGTAAGAAAACCATTAATAATAGTAAATTAAATATTTCACCCTCTTCTATATGAGGACTATGCCATTAAATTAAATCATACACGTGTATTGAATTCATGTGTGTATTTATGTTGCACCCCATAGCATATGCACTGAGGCTTGGAGCCTGAGCTATTCCTGGGCCAAGAGACAATAATTGCATTCTTCTGGGGACACTGCAACCCAGAAAATGCATAAATGAGGCTAATCCTCTCATGTATGTCTACACAGTTGTAATATGTGATTTCAGCATGTGTCTATGTACATGAGCTAGCTTTTCTGTACCTAATTTGGGTACTGATAGCAAGTAAGCTACATTAATGTGTGATTACAAGCCTACCTTGGGCCCTTTAGCAGCTAACTCATGTTAAACAACCTGCCACCATCACTTACTTTGCAATGAGTAATTGAGCTGGCTAGATTAAAGCTAATTTGGATATTTCTACCCATGCTTCTGTCATGCCTAGACTGAAACACAAGCATCCTCTTAGGGCTCCTATGCACATACAGGGGGGCTGCTTCAATGTACTGTAATTACAGCACATCAGGGTAGACTCGATTAGTTGAATTTACTGGAGCATGGTAATTACCATCCTCCAGCAGAGTCCAACATCACGTGTATCAGCATCCCTGCACTGAAAAATGGCAATGGGGTGCTTTAAATTGAAGTAAATTTGATGAGCTTTAGTTCAAAGCGCCCCACTGCCATTTTTCAGTGCAGGGACACTGGTACACGTGACACTCTGGTTGCCTTTAATTAAAGTGCTAATTAAAGCACCCCCGCACCTCCCAGAGCACATCTATAAACACCCTTAGGGTTTGTCCTTTCATTGTGAAAGAAGAATACTAGTAACCTGATGAATTTGGGTACTGGAGTACCCTAACAGTTGTTTGGTTGAAAAATCCTTATGCTGAGTTGAGTAGAGCTGTTCATAAAAATGGCCATGATTTTTTTATGAAAAATACTTAAATTATTTTTGCTCCACAGAATTCAAAAACATTTTCTTTTATTAAAAAAGTGTTTCACAAAAATGTTTCTTGCAGATATTTGATAGTTTGGGATATTATTTCCCCCCTTTCCTTTAACACACTTCTCCCTGAATCTTTCTTCATATAAAATTTGAAAAAAAGTATTTTTGACAAAAATATTTAGTTAGCAAGATGTCAACCAACTCTACTCCTGAGAAACTTTCTATTCCCACTGCTTCATGAAGAATGCCTGCCAAGGGGAAATTACAGATCTACTGGGTTTTTTATGTTATTTTTAATCATAGAATCATAGAATCATTAGTCGGAAGGGACCTAGACAGATCATTGAGTCCAACCCCCTGCCATGGGCAGGAAGGAGCACTGGGGGTAGGAGGGGTCATAAGACCCCAGCCAGGTGCCTATCCAGTCTCCTCTTGAAGATTTCCAGGGAAGGTGAGAGCACCTCCTCTCTGGGGAGCGTATTCCAGGCTCTGGCCAACCTTACAGTGAAGTAGTTCTTCCTAATATCTAACCTCAACCTATCCTCCCTCAGCTTGTG